GCAGTTGTGAGGCTGGGAGTTCCTTATTAAGTTGATTTTGGTTTGGGATTTGGGTTTTGGTTTGGGAGAGGGCCCTGCCAATAACATGGTTGGGGTATTTTCTGTTAATTAAAAAAAAAGAGTGCATTTTGAGGGCTTGGTTTTGGAAATCCATGTTGTCACTGCAAAGTCAAAAATCGTGAAAATGCTCATTGACTGTTATGTAGCATGTTGCACCCAAGTGGATGTTTAGTACAGCTTCCTGACTGTGTTAAATGTGGAGCATTTTGCAAATAGCATTCTGACATACTTTAGTTGTCTTTAGATGTTGGAACTGAATGGATTTAAAACCACCATAGCACAGTATATATTTTTTTATCAAAATCTAAAATAAAATTAACTGTTTCTTAATTATATTTTATTTAAATTAGCAGTAAGACAAACACATTATTTGAATGTGGATGTAACTGAAAAAAAAAACATTGCATTCACAACAGTCTGTAACAATTGACTATTTTTTATATATCTGGCTGAGTAATCTTGTTTTGTGTATTTTATTCTCTCATTCTCAGTTTCTCATTCTCTCATTTGAAAACTAAACAAAGATTTGATTTACAGATTTTTAATATTCTCAAAACCTTTGTCAGTATGGCTGAGGGACTAATTCATAGACTACAATGAAGATGTTGTCTATCAGAGTTGGCTACCATTTAGGTACAGTTAGATCATTTTAAATGAGGTAATGGGGTTTAGGAATATTCATAGTTTCACGGCAAGTGACATCACTGTTTTGTTGGTTAAGGTTTAAGTGTTCATACTTAATGTAAAAGTAAAAAAAAAATATATACAGGTTGTGGGGAAAGTTAAGGGTAAATAATAGATAATCTGATATGGAAACGTAAGGAAACATGTATTGTATGAGTCTTTCCTAATATCTATTTTTGAACTCTTTAATTCCTTGAACTTTAGCTCAAACGATAGCAACATTACTGCATGATTTATTTACAAATCTAATAAATATCAGACAGCATGAGTAACACGTAAATTCATCAACTCACTGATATAGTATTATTAAAAATTAGCCCTTTCAACACCATATTTCAGTAAAAAGATACCATAGTCTTAGAACATTTGAAACTGTCCCCATGTCTCCTATCCATATGGTCAGTGTATCATATGCTAATAGTCATATGCTAATGACGCCCTGCTTGCATCATGCTAGCAAAGTGACATATCTGTGCTCCAGGTTGTTTACATCGCTGTCACTCCACACACTTTCTTCTGAATGAATAAAAAGGACTATAGATTATTGGAGGCACAGTAAGCTAGTAACAGCTACTGTAGCTACAGTACCTACAAATCAAGATTAAAGGCTAAATATGCCGAAATGCAATTAATTTCTGATGACTTTTACTTGTTATGAAATGTAGAGTACAAAAAAATACATTTTATACACTTGATAAAATGTATCAAAATAAGATAAAAAGAAGTCACATTTTTTCCACTCAGACAGAGCACAATTATCAAATTGACATGCAGCATGTACAGCATGTATGAACATCTTTCATATTTTAATCTTACTCCTTACACATTAATCACTAGCCATGACATTAAAATAGTAATTCCCTAATATTTAAATTGTAAAATACACATTATTCTTGCTTAGTATTTGCAACTCATAATGCATTCTATTTACATTGTGGTACAATAGCATTTCCTGTTTTCAGCTGAAAACAAGGTTGAATTGCAGAGAGTAGTCCTGCTAAAAAATGGTACAGTATGTTCAAATCAGTTTATGTATGACAACCTTTGTTACCTCTGTGAAAAAACAATACTGTATATAGGACATGTCACGTTATGAACTATTTCTGTATTACAGCTGTTGTAACAGACAAATAAGTTCTGGATCTCGAGATGAAGTTTAAACAGATGGGTTTTATTGCATGCAAGGAACAATAAAACCGAAGTATTGTTCAAAGTGCCGGTACAAAACTTCCAGTTTATACAGTATAGCCCTTTTCTGCTGCTTCTGACATACCTCATTACTATGGTAATGGGGGGAGGTCATGGTGTTTGGACAGTTCACAGACTTTGACCAAATGGTCCATGTTAGGTTTCCTTCCTTGAGAAGGGGAGGGGGGGGGAGGGTCTTGCTGGCATCTGGAATCCTTATCAGTTATCCCCCTTTCCTGCCATAACTCTAGCCTGTTACTTAGAAGTCCAGTCCTCATGCAGAAAGGACTCAGTTAACCCTTTCTTCAAATCTTGTGTCTTTCTTCATTCCCCCCTTATAAAATATAGCATACGGCAGTGCTGGCTATTTTTTACACAAACAATGTCAGGGCAGATCAATCCTTTCTAGGTGTACAGGCATGTATTACCATGACATTGTGTGTTCCATGGTTACAGCAAGATGTGATTAATGTCTTTGTACAAGTGATGGTTACAGTTATACATATAAACAATACTAATCCTACAAATAAATATTGTAATAAACTTCCACCCCAGGCCCCAAACACAGACTTTAACCAAGACCCAATTCCCCATTTTCGGTGTAATAGTCATGATATTTCTGTCCCTCATCGTAAATGTGTTGGGCTAGATCTGAGATGTGCACAGAATTATCGGGAATGTATGTGCAGCATTCAGTGCCAATTACTGCACAAGTTCCTCCTTGGGCAGCCAGCACATAATCTAAGGCTAATCGATATAGGCTAATCGAGGCCATTTGAATTAATTCTCAACCTAGAAATTTCTTGCCAGCCTGTGGAAATATTATACCTAAATAATACTCCCAATCAGCCAATTTCCTTTGTGGTCTGTGGATAGATCCGAAGGGGCTGTGAGATTGAATATGGATATGAGGAACCACATATCCTAAATAACATGAGCCAGACCACTGGGCGGGCAACCATGGGTAGGCTCGCTTTCCACAAATGAAGTATGTTTCATTTGGCACTCCCCATGCCTCTGAAAATAAGAAGAGTATACCGAAATGTGGGGTACGCCTGTCCCATCCTGGAATTTGAATGGTAGAGGTTGATCTACAACGATGGTAAGGTTGCAATGACTCCACCCCATCAAGTGCAGGCCATCAGTATGCTGAAAACATATGTTTCCCTCACATTCCTTATTTAGAGTAATGTATGGTGGTGTATGGCTTCTGTTATATTTAGGATGTAAGAGCCTGTGAAGCTCGTGGGCTCTAGGCCTCACTCCTGCAGATATTGCAATGAAGTGCAGGTTAAAGTTGTGTCATTGCAACCTCCATAGTTTGTCATATTAAAATCCCCTATATAATTTCTCCAAATTATCATGCTTATGACCTCCTCGAGACACCAAGGAATGACCCCCATAGGAAGTCCTCCCTGTACATATTTGGGTAATGCTGCACACACCCAGCAGGCACTTTGGTTGGTTTTCTTAGCTGTCAGATAGGAGAGGCCTAAAAAGGAATTAACTCCATGTTCCCCTTTGTGGGAATGATGTTCATTAATCCCTGTGAGACATAGCCCTACAGAAACCATTAACATCATCAACAGTATGGAGATGAGGCTCGTCGACAGTGCGAGGCGTGGATCCAGCGATCTTTTCCTTCTACTCAAACTGCAGAATCGGTCTTCAACAGGATCTGGTAGGGTCTGTCCCGCCTTGGCTGGAGAACCTGTGAGGGAAATTTCCTGACCCACACCCACTCTCCTGGGATGAGGTCGTGTCCTCCTTTAGGTGGTGGTCCCCACACCTCCAGGACCTGCTCGCGGGCACCTTGGGTGGCTTCTGTCAGCAACTTGCAATACTGTAACAGAGAATCAGTTAGTACACTCAAGTCTACTCCATCATGTCCTGGGGAATCACTCAGTCTCATGGGGGGCCCCGTGATCACCTCAAACAGGCTCAGCCCCACAGTTCCATTTGTCCCCTCACGGATGCTACACAATACAGTGGGCAATGCATCCACCCAGGGGATATCTCCCAGGTGGTACTTTGTCAATTTGTCTTTCAAAGTTCGGTTCACCCGTTCCACCATGCCAGAGGACTGCGGGTGATGAGGGCAATGCAGGTCCCATTTGATCCCCAGTAGGTCTGCCACCACCTGACACACTTTTCCAGTAAAATGTGTGTCCTGGTCTGAGTCTATGCGACACGGGAGTCCCCATCGGGGAATTACTTCAGTTACAAGATATTTGGCAGTTGTCTGCGCAGTCTCTCGTTTGACAGGGACAGCCTCCACCCATCTAGAAAACTGCTCCACCATCACCGGGAGGCCTGTCCTCCCTTTACAGGGTGGCATTGAACAACAGTCTATTTGCCAGTGTCTAAAGGGCCCCTCGGGTGCAGGACGTCGTAGGTTAGGTGCCCGATCTGGAGGTGCTCCGGAGGCTTTCTGGCATTCACCACATCGTCTCACCACATCAGCCGCAAAGGATGCGAATTCTGTCCCCACCCAGCTCTGAGCAAAGCTTTGGTTAATTCCTGGGTGCCTTTTGGAGTGTACTTGTTGTGCATTTACTGCTTTGGGCAGGCGGGTCTGCCTGTTCGCTGGCATCTCCAGGTCCCATCCTTCTGCAGCCCCACATTGCGTTCCATCCATGTCCATTTCTCAGTCCTTGGGCCTGGAGCTCGCTGAGCTGTTCCGCACGGAATGCCTGGATATTCACTGTGCAAACTGAAACAATCTGAAGAGGCCTTTCTATAAAACACTCCCTTCATTGCCCCAAGGCGGCTTGACATGCTGTCCAGTCTGCCAACTTATTGCCCCGGTCTTCGTGAGTGTTCTCTCTGCTGTGGCCCTTACATTTGACCACAGCTACCTGCTTTGGGAGTTGGAAAGCCTCAAGCAGCTCAGACACCAAATCAGCGTTCTTTACCAGAGTGCCAGCAGAGGTAAAAAAATTCATATTACTCCATAACCTTCCAAAAATGAAAAATAAATAGTAACTACATCATTTAATGTTATATTGGTCTTTTACAGAACTTTTCCTGGGATATACAGAATGAACTTCATGCTGAATGTCACTAGAATGACTGAAAATACACACTTTTGTTATGAGTCAGTGAACAAGTCATGTTTGAAACGTGTTTATTTGCCTACTGTACATACTCCACTGTATTTTATCTTTGTAACTATTATTGTGTTCACTGTTTGTGGAAACCTGGTTGTCATCATCTCCATTGCTCACTTCAAACAGCTTCACACAACCAACCAACCAGACTCGTTCTCTCATTTGACCTCTACAAACGATATATTGATGACTGCGTCGGTGCCGCCACATGCTCCAATGATCAGCTTGAGTTCTTCCTGCACCATTTCACCAACTTCCACCCATCCCTCAAATATACGGTTAACATAAACCCACGGATTCACACAGCTACCTCCTGTACAGCTCATTTCACCCCAACCACACTAAAAACTCTCTTCCTTTTTCACAGTTCCTTAGGTTACGACGATTATGCAGCGACGACATCGACTTCGAGAACCAAGCCCTCGAAATGTACTCATTTTTCATCAACAGAGGATACCCCAGCAGTGTGATTGACAGGGCCCTTGCCCGAGCCAAAAACACCCCCCAGACCATCAACCCGATCAGGAACTCCCGCCGTAACAACCGCATTCCTTTGGTGCTTCCTTACCACCCTAACACACTTCCTACCCCCAGGACCATTAACCACAACTTTTACATCCTACAGGATGATCCCTCCATTGGGGCCCTCTTTTCTGATCGCCCTATCATCTCATATCGCTGACCACCTAATCTGCGTAACCTCCTTGTTCACAGCTCCCTTGACCGCCCTCAACAACCATCCACACCAGGCACTTTCCCTTGCAACAGAGCTTGCTGTATCACCTGCAAGTACACAGCCACCACCACACTCATTCAAGGCCCCTCAGGACAATTCCGGATCACCCAGACAGCATCTTGTACCTCCAGCAACCTTATTTCCTGTATCTCTTGCAGTAAATGCCCAGCCATCTACATTGGAGAAACAGGAAGGAGACTCGGAGACCGCTTCAGAGAACACGTCAGGGCTGTGAAGATTAAAGATCTCTCCAAGCCCATTGTTTCTCATTTCACCTCTGATGGCCACCACCACTCTAATCTCTCCGTCTGTGTTCTCAAAGACGGTTTTCCAAACTCATACATCAGAAAGACCACCGAAACTAAAATTATTCTGCAGCTAGGATCACACATTCTCCCTTCCCTTAACGACAGACTACTGTTCTTTTAAATTTTCTCCATTCATTGGAAGTTTCATTTCACACCTCTCTGCACCCATTCTGACTTCACACCTCTTGATTGGCCTCTCTTTCTGTCCCCTGCTCCCGCCTCTCACTCCTCCTCCCTCCCAACCTTTGTTCTCCCGCTACTTTACCTTTGCCTACTGCCCTGTCTCTCTCACACCTGAAGAAGGCTCCACGGCCGAAACGTTGTGTTCTCTTTCTTCTTTTTTTCAGCATGGAATAAACCTATTACATGTTATGTACTACTTCTATATTCCATCTCTCCTTCATTTCAATTGATCGATATTATGCTGTGTGTGAACCACTAAAATACAACGCTAAAATCACTGTTTGTGTTGCAGTTTACATAATTGTTATTAGTTGGAGTGTTTCAGCTGTTTTTGGACATGGACTGATGTTTCTCAAATTAAATATAAAGGGGAAGGAAGATGTCTACTATGAGAATGTATATTGTGTAGGGGGCTGTACTGTGATACTGAGTAAAATATCTAGCCTGATTTGTTCTCTGCTTGCATTTTACACCCCTGGTTTTATAATGCTAGGAATCTATTTGAAAATTTTCTTTGTAGCAAGGAGACAAGCCAGGGTAATTGAAGGCCTCGTATCCCAGAGTAAGAGCTCAGAAGACAGCAAAACAATGACTTCAAGCAAGACAGAAAGAAAAGCTGCGAAGGCTCTGGGAATAGTGATGGGGGTCTTTCTCTGCTGCTGGACGCCATTTTTCTTGAGTGTCAACCTGGATCCTATTTTTAATTATTCCACTCCACCTGTCTTATTTGACAGTCTTGCATGGCTAGGTTATTTAAATTCTACATTTAATCCTCTTGTCTATGCTTTCTTTTACAGCTGGTTCAGAAAAGCCCTTGGTATGATTGTGTTTGGTCAGATATTTCAAGCCAATTCTTCAAGAACAAAACTAATTACATATTGATTATTTCTTTACAAATTTTAACACTAAGCAAAATTCTATAATTGTTTCTTTTCTTAAATTTGAAATTTTCTTTGAAAATTTGAAAAAAAAAGCAATTCTCATCTGTGACAATATTGTGCCTGAGAAAAATACCTGTTAGTAGAGAAAATAAAATTAAAGTTTGCAATATGTTTATGGATGAGTATGATGTTAAAACATTGGACAGAATTCTACCTTATAATGTAAGCGAATGAAAAAGTGAAAAACGCAAACTTTTCACAAATATATACCCATATTTTCACTTAAAGTATACAGAAGTTCAAGAGCATCTTTCACAGAGAAACTGGGAAGATACAAACATGTTCAAATATTCTTCTTTTTTTAATTGAGATTTTATTTAATTGCTAACTTCAATGTTTTTAATTTAGATTTAAATTGTTTTTACGATCATTATATCATTAATTATTTCTTATATACTCACCTGATTTTTCAATGCCAAATTGAATTGTGTTTGTTAGTTATCTAGTCATATTGTATATATAGCAAAGTCCTCTGACCTGCTCATCTCTACGCTCACTCATCATTTACAACTTTACAGGGACAGTAAGCCCTTTCAAGGAAGTTAATCAATGATTTTACAAGAGGCGCCTCCCTTACTGACAGCACCACAAGTGTGCAAATACCTGGGAGGCTTCAGAGGTGACTGTGTTCCTGAGAGACAAGAGATCAATTAGCCCACTAGGTGGGAGAATGTTAGTTTTCACTGCAGAGCATTTAGAATAATTTAGAATAATTTTCAAGATACTACTGTACAGTAGTACAAGGTATTATTGATCAGGGCTAGATAAAGCTTTAACACCTTTTGCTAGGTAATTGAAAATGGAGAAAACTGTTCATTTAAAACAAGTTGTAATGGCCTGTATTAAAACGAAACCAAACTGAGGCGCCGGCATCTGCATCACACTAAAACACAATTAATCAGAGTATGTTTTACAACTTACAAGTGATCTCCAATATCTTCTAAAAAAAACACAGACAATAAGTCTTTTTTCACTGCAGTAAAGCCTTTTTGAGGAACCATCATCATAAACTGATAATAAAAAAAATCTCACACACCAAAATAAAACCTAAAAATCAAAAGCTGAGCAAAATATATTATATTATATATGATTTTAGATTTTAAAGGAACAAGTAAAGGTTTATTCCATTTTGAAAAGAGAAGAAAAGAAACACAGCATTTTGGCTGTGGAGCCTTATTCGGGTGTCACCACTCCTATGCTTTCTCCGTCGGCTAAAGAAGTTTGCTGTGCCGTCACTTATCCAAGACAACTTCTTCAGGTGCACAGTTGAGAGTATCCTGACTGGCTGCATCACTGCCTGGTAGGGGAGCTGCACCACTCATGAACGCAAAGTACTGCAGTGGGTGGTGAAATCAGCATAGCTCATCACCGGCAGCGTACTACTGGACATCGAGGATATCTACTCTGAGATGCCTCAAGGAAGCCAGTTGTATACTCAAGGACCCCAGTCACCCAAACCACAATCTGTTTTCCTTACTACTGTCTGGAAAACGATACCGAAGCCTACAGGCAAAGACCAGAAGATTTCAAAACAGCTTTTTCTCAAGGGCAATAAGACTGCTGAACAGCCAACCACAGCAGCCACCAGCAATTACCCATAGACCACTGATAAATAGTCAGTCCACTGCATTTTTTTCTCCTGTTTTTATTCCGCCTGCATTTTTTATTATTGTGTAATCTTGTAAATTGTTACTGTATAATTTATTGTATTCTTCTTTTAACCTTCTATCAAATTCTGTCCTATCTCTCCTTGGTGAGCTTGGGGAAAATACATTTCACTGTGGAAAACCACCGCTGTATGCTGTATTGTTGTGCGTTGATAAATGAACCTTGATTGATTGATTGAAGAATTCTGATGGTTTGCACTCAATGCCAAAGTAGTTCATTTTTATTTAAGCCATAAACCAGGCTTCTACTATTTAAACGTTCAGAGATATTACAAAATGTGTGAGGGGACATCACACCAAGTGGAAAATGACTCTTTATCCAGAGGCAAGAAATGGAAGAGAACACCAGCATGCAAGATGTAATGATATGATACACAGGACACCATGACACATGACAAATGACACTACCATTGTTGGCCTCATCTTGAAAAAATGATGAGACTTGTTACTGAAAGCAGATTGATTTGGGAACAGCCTAGTGTATGGACAACGACCTCCTACTCAACGCTTCTAAAACCAGGGAAATCATCATTGACTTCCAACGCATCCCGAACACAAAAGTTCCAATCTTCATTAATGATCTTCCTATAGAGCCCACAAACTCCTTTAAATTTCTTGGTACATTCGTACATAAACAGTGATCTTAAATGGAGCACCAACACTGACCACATAGTCAGGAAAGCACAGCAGAGGATGTTTTTTCTTAGGCAGCTCAAAAACCACAGAGTGAACAAGCAACTTCTTCAATTCTATACAGCCATAATCCAAAGTGTTCTGACCACCTCCATTACAGTCTGGAATGGGACCTTGGATAGCTACTCAAAAGTAGTTTTCTACTTTTGGAAAGGACCTTAGGATTTAGTACTTTCCAAACTGGAAAGGATTGTGACCAAAGCTGCAAAAATTGTTGGCTGTGAACTCCCTTCCATTTCATCTCTCTACTCAAGCCACACCTTCAGTCGTGCCAAGAGAATCCTCTCAGACCCCTCTCACCCAGCTCATAATCTATTTCAGCTTTTCAAATCCTCCCTCTCAAGAAACAGTTTCCTTGCAGTGTGGTCCATGAAACCAGACAGGACATCTGTGTGCTGATCCAGCACATGGAGAAAGTTTAATCTGGCAAGCCCATCTTTAAATCAGAAAAGGAAAAAGAAAAAAATACTGAATACATCAAAACTACATAAAAGTATTTTACATTACTTTATTATTAATTGCTGTTGTACTGTTTTCAAATTAACTTAACAGTTATTCTGGCAGTATTGTAAAACAAAAGGTAAAAAAATATATACATATTATTATAAATGGGGGGTTACAAGACTGGTGAATTTCAGGAATTGACAGAGAACTTTAGTCAATAAGTAAAATAATTATTTATAATCTCAGACCCCCCCAAAAGGAATTCTCCAAAATATATCTGAGCGGTTGATATAATTAAAGGCACATGAATTCTTTGTTCTTTGGCTTAACTTTGGTGAAAAGAGCAATAATCCAGGCTCACCTGGTTAAACAAATACCTGTATTTATGACAATGACAAGACACAAACCACACAACACACCACAACATACAACACACAAGTTACTCTATGTACAGTATTAATAAACAAGGCATGTCAGAGGACTAACATTCTGGTCACCCAGAAATCCCCAGACTGCTACTAAGCATTAAACTCTTCTAAGCCTTCTAACTAAATACAAATCAAGCAGCAGTTACATTTCTCTCTCTGCACCCTGGATGACACGAAATCAATTGGAGCCTATATCCCTATCCATAAAATTGCCCCCTAAATAGAAAGGACGTTTCTAACTGAAGTATCTTTTACCCAGGAAACCCAAGTTACCTAAAAGGACAGAATAGCATGCTCTCTATAGCAAAGTTCAAATACTTCAAAGCAGTTCAAAGCTTCAAATAGTTCAAAGCAGAGGAGAGGAGAGAGGAGTCCAAAAGAGTTGGGACCTGAAGCTTGCGCCAGGCGGCTTACAATCCCTACATGGTCATCCAAACCAAACCGGATTAGAGCACAAATACAGCTTCTTTATTCTCTTAATGTAATCTTATATTGTGTGTTTCTGTACTGCTCATTGACAGTCATTAACCCACAACATAGCTAAGTATACCAAGGAAAACCTTCCAATTTTTTTTTCTTAAAATCCTCCACCTTCTTCCCTCTTTTTTAATTTAAAGAATTCTGAGAAGTAAGCCACACAGTAAACCATACATCAACAATTACAACCATCTTCATCTAGATGGAATTATTTACACTTAATATTAACGTTTCTCCTTAGCAGGCAATAGCTACCAGTTCACTTTGCAGAGTAATTCAGACATTTCTTTACTACTAGGGGTTGCACAGTGACCACTGACATACAGTAAAATAAACTTTTTACTTAAGATCAGGAAAGGAATAAAGTGTTAATAAACTTTTTTTCAAGTACCTTAATCGGTATGGCTCTGGGACTAATTCATAGGCCTCCAAGCAGATGTTGCTAAAGTTCTGGGACTAAACTACTAGGGGTGATCACTTCAACACACTGTGCTTGTTTACCTGGAGAACGTACCACTTGACAAAGGAGACTGACCAAGGTGAGACAATAATACTCAGCCCACAGACGAGAGAATGTGGGCATCGCACCTCTCAATTTCCAGTGCAGAAGTCTCTTTTCTAACCTAGATATCCACTGAAGTACAGTGCCTGTTTAAGATCACTCCCCAGGACAGCCAGTTACATCACAATCCCAGAGGGGATTAAGCTACGCTACAGACAGCCTGTTCCAAGGAGAGTGTAGGGCTGTCTGAGTGACCGACGACCCTCTGTGAGGCATCCGTAAGAGTCCGCTCTGCTTGGACAAGTCACAGGGAGCTATAGGGGAAGCTTAGTCTCTTGGTGAGACAGGTGTGTAGTGCGAAACTGTTAAACCCAGGTTAGTCATTCAGGACACCGAGAGCAGGGGAAGCTCTCTTTGGAGTAGCGGCCTTGGTCATTTCTGTGTCAGTTCCCCGCTGACAATAAGGACAGGAGTGACACTGGCCAAATTGGAATCGACCAGGACAAAGTACTTGCCATTGCTACTCTAAATTCAGGGAACACCTTTTGTTACAATAAGGTTACAGCAGGGATGAAAGTGGCATTTTTCCCCACACTTGGCCACCATTTAGGTACGGTTAGATCATTTTAAATGAGGTGATGGGGATTAAGAATGTTGATAGTTTCACGTCGAGCAATGTACTGTAACTGATTTGTTGGTTAAGGTTTAAAGGTTCATACATAATTTAAAAGTTAGAAAGAACTGTATACAGTAGGTTGAGGGGCAAGATAAGAGTAAATAATAAATATTTTTATATGGAAACATTGTATGAGTGTTTCCTAATATCTATTTTGGAACTCTTAATTCCTTGAATTTTGAAGGTTTTTATAACTATTTTATAACATGCTCAAACTATAGGGAAATTACTGCATGATTTATTTTATAATATCATAAATATCAGACAGCATGAGTAACGCATAAATTCTTCAACTCACTGATATAGTATTCTTAATAATTATCCCTTTCAACACCATATTTCAGTAAAACAATGCCGTAATTTAGCCTATTTTTACTATTACTTGTTATGAAATGTACAGTACACAAAATACATTTTATACGCTTGATATAATGTGTTCAAAATAAGATCAAAATAAGTCACTTTTTTTCACTCTGAAGGAGCACTATTGTCAAGTTGACATGCAGCATGCGCAGCATGTACAGTAGGTCATGTCATGTTATGAACTATTTCTATATTTCTATTTCTATATTACAGCTCTCCTTCATTTCAATTGCTCAATATTATGCTGTTGAAGAACCACTAAAATACAAAAATAAATCACTGGTCATGTTACACTTTACATGGTTGTTATTATTTGGAATGTTTCAGTTTTTGGGTTGATGTTTCTATAAGAATTTATATTGTTGTGGTTAAAATAAAAAATATCTATTCATGATATTTACAGAATATATAATCTTTGATTTACTGTGATACAATCTGTTGAAAAGATTCATTAAAAATTCATATGGAACAAGCAAAGTATTTGTGAGTGGCAGCAGTTAAATCTTGGTTGTTGTTTTTTTATAATGTTCATGCATAATGGCATAATAGATGTTTGTTCACCAATGGGGAATACTGTAGTTCTATAAGGGAAAGAGATGGTGATGCTACAGTATGGATCACCAGTAATTACTGACAAAACACTAGTTTACACCGCTGGGATTTTTGGAGGACAATCAGTATATAAAACGCCACATACAAATTGTCAGGTTATAGTGACACCAGACATCTGAACAAGGTAAGCTTATGACGACTATATAATCCTAGCATCTCAAAAGAATTTTTAAATTTCATATGGTCAATGTTGATTTTTTTTTATTTATCTGCAAATTGCACTACAAAACCTCAAGAGTAAAAAGTACATTTTACATTGTTGTTGTAAGCTTTTTACACTGAACATGCTGTAGTAATTGAGAAAAATTCACTATAAGAGATTCCTTGCCAAATTTAAGGTCTTGAAATAAACAATTTCTCATGTTTAATTCTGCAAATGTATGGATATATACGTCTTTTAATTAAGATCATTTTAAACAGTTTAGAAAGATTTTTAAGATGTATTTTTACTTTCACTTCTAAAGCTGTACTTGTTGTATTAATAATAGTTAATATAATAAGGAACAAGTAATAGGCTTATTGCATGCTGTAAAGAGATGAAAGAAAGCACAATGTTCCAGCTGTGGAGCCTTCAATAAACCTATTGTTCCTTTGCAGCTTATGCATGCTGACGCAGCTACCCACCTGAACTACATTAATATAATAATTATGTTTCATGGCTAATTTTTCCATAGATGCTGCCACAACAATTTCTGCTAATCAAAAGTTTCTTTAGTCATGTCTATTGAGATTGGCACAGGAGTCCTGTAAGCAACAAGAAACAAATCACTGGCACCATAGTATTTTAGAAGAAAATACATTTATTCCATTACGTCAAAATGAAAAAGAACACGTAGATTTTACAGCCAAGAAAGACTGCTTCAGTGTATGTGATTTCAAAATAACAGAATGAACATAATGTGGTAGAGTAACAGGTTACAAATCCAGCTGTTTCATTTTTAATTATTAGAGATACAGTCAGTTGTGACATTGACAAAATTCCATTTGAAATCTTACCTGAAATACTAAAGTATGAAAAATAAAGAGTAACCACATACTTTAATGTTATATTGGTCTTTTTTTACAGGAAATTAACTTTTCTACAAGTCCTGGGATACACAGTATAGAATGAACTTCATGGTGAATGTCACTGGAATAACTGGAAATACACACTTTTGTTTTGAGTCAGTGAACAAGTCATGTCTGAAACATGTTTATTTGCCTACTATACGTACTCCACTGTATTTCATCTTTGTAGCTATTATTGTCTTCACTGTTTTTGGAAATGTGTTTGTCATCATCTCCATTGCTCACTTCAGACAGCTTCACACACCAACTAATTTTCTCGTTCTCTCATTAGCGGTTGCTGACTTGTTATTAGGAGGATTTGTTATGCCTCCCAGTATGGTCCGATCACTTGAAACTTGCTGGTACTATGGAGACTTGTTTTGTAAAATCCATTCCAGCACAGATGTCATGTTATCTACTACTTCTATATTCCATCTCTCCTTCATTTCAATTGATCGATATTATGCTGTGTGTGAACCACTAAAATACAAAGCTAAAATCACTGTTTGTGTTGCAGTTTATATGGTTGTTATTAGTTGGAGTGTTTCAGCTGTTATTGGATTTGGAATGATCTTTCTAAAGTTAAATATAAAGGGGAAGGAATATGTCTACTATGAGAATGTATATTGTGTAGGGGGCTGTACTCTGATACAGACTGAAATATCTAGCCTGATTTGTTCCCTGCTGGCATTTTACATCCCTGGGTTTATTATGTTAGGAATCTATTTGAA